AATTATTAACACTCGAAGCGCTCAGAGGTGAAATAAAAAAGTTCTCGATGGTTAAAATTTCGGATTCAAAAAATTTCTAATTATAAGTCCTACAGGTATAAAAATTTTCTCGGTAACCGGCAGTTCTGTTGAGAGTTCTGTATAGTCCCTCACGAGTTCTAACGATTATCCTTAAGGCTCGAAACGCTACAATTAAAATTGAACGAGTTTTCGATATTTTTTATTTTCTAAGTCGAGAATTTGAAATTTAATTTACGTAGTATTTCGAGCCAAACTATTTTTGAAACTTATTTAGAACTATACAACTATTTGAAATCTACTCAGAACTATAAAAAAATTTGGATTTTTTACATAATGGGGGGCGTCGTGAAGTTAGCCCCCTGATTTTTCAAATGGTGTTTTCTTTACTTTAAATGACAGAACTCTTTCTAAAATGTCTGAGAACTCTAGAACTCCACGGGGGGCATCCAGAACTCTAATCATTTTTTTCAATTTTGAAAAATGGGGGGCCAACTTTACAGAGGTGGAATACCGTTACTAAATAAATTTAAAAAAAAACATTATAAATGTAAAAATGATATATTTTGCCATTATAGGAAGGCGCTGCTTTTAAAAGCTTTCTGTTAGTACATAAAGGAGAATTCCGAGAAAAAGAAGTGACGGATGCTTTGATGGCACCAGGCAAAGTGCCGGGAAGTTCGGGAACCAGAAATCTTGCCAACAACATTAGCGATCTCAAAGCTCAGATTGCAGCAAATCAAAAAGTAATATTTAATTACTTATAAAAAATACTAAAAGCGAATTATTTGTCTTGCACTTACGTTAAGAATCATTATCTTTAAATTATTAATAACTATTAATAACGAATCAGTTTTCTTTTGTTTAAGGGTTCACAACTGGTGAACGAACTGATCAACGCATACAGTCTCGAAGTAGTTCAAGCATACATGGGTCATATACAACGCAATGCCGAGATTGCCGTTCGAGATATGTTAAAATCAATAGGCACTAAAGTTAAAACCTTGCGAACGCATTTGGGACATCAGATACATACTACTGATTACCTCGATGATGGCAGTCCCGTAGATTTAATTGTGAATCTTGATATAGAAAAGGGCGAAGCGGTTTTCGATTTTAGGTAAAAATTTAATAAAAATTAAGTATATCAAAAGTTATAATAATTCTAATAACTTGCAGCTTAACACAAGATTTGCACCAAAATTTTCTTTCTTATATAATGCCATTTTTGAACTTTGAAAAGTACCAATTAAAAGATATAGTATTTCTCCATTTATTTTTTTTGTTTCAAAAAATAAAAAGAGAAATCTCGCACTACGTAATTTCATCATAATCGATTGTAGCAATTTACATAAGAATAGATGTCAAGATAAAATTTCATTTCAGTGGAACGGGTTATGAAGTATGGGGTAATTGCAACGCACCGCGTGCCATAACTTTGTCTGCGATAATTTATTGTTTGAGATGTATGGTTGGCCAAGATATACCATTAAATCAGGTAACATTATGCTTCTCGGGTTTCCTTAAGGAAATTTAACAATGAATTCGAACTTGTTTCATACTCTTTGCAGGGTTGTTTAAAGCCTGTGAAAATTATTATTCCGAAAGGATCGTTACTCGATCCCTCGGAAGACGCGGCGGTGGTAGGCGGCAATGTTTTGACATCTCAACGTATTGTTGATGTGATACTAACAGCTTTTGAAATTTGCGCGGCTTCGCAGGGTTGCATGAACAATGTAACCCTCGGCACTGAGGAATGGGGTTATTACGAAACAGTTGCAGGTGGCAGTGGAGCAGTAAGATCATTATACAAATTTCAGTTTATGTATACTCGCGTATTAATAATACAGAAATAATTATTATGAATTGTGTAACTTCTTTGATAAATAACAAAATTACTCATGTATATAAAGAATATATCTTTTTACATACTATTTTAATTTTAATGTTAATTAAACACGCGTTGTTGTTTGTTCATACTGTTGCAGATACTATGTATTTTAATTAATAAATTTGTTTTCCCGCAGGGACCAACGTGGAATGGTAGAAGCGGCGTTCACACGCACATGACCAATACGAGAATTACCGATCCAGAAATACTGGAGCTTCGCTATCCAGTTATACTTAATCAGTTTTCACTTCGTTTTGGAAGTGGAGGTAATGGGGCATATACTGGTGGTGATGGAGTTGTTCGTCAAATGACATTTAGGTAATTAAACATTGTTGGATTTAAAATTTATATAAATATAATCGCTATTCGTGTATATTTTTTTTCTACCAGAAAGTTAAGCCTTGAAGATGATAAAGAACGAGTCAGCAAATATTGTCATTCGTAAGTTTTGTTAAACATTTGTTCACAGAGCTCCAATGACACTATCTGTGTTAACCGAGCGAAGAGCGAGAAGTCCACCTGGTTATAATGAAGGTGAGAACGGAAAACGTGGACTCAATACTTTGAAGCGTGCTAATGGTAGATTGATCAATTTAGGCGGAAAAGCTAGTGTTCCCGTCTGTGTGGGGGTAAGCGATTTTACATGATATTTTTGCAATCAATATCTTTTATCTATCTAAATTTTATGAAAAAAGGCAATAAGCTCAAAGTTAGCATATTTATTATTTTGCTATAATAAATACAGGAGAGAATCGATTCGATAATTGAATGAAAAAACCGTTTTGTTACAAAGGCTTATATAAACTACACAAAAGCTTTACATAAAAATAAAAAAAATATTTGACTAATAAAATAAAATTTTTGTGAAATTTGCGTAACTCTGTATTCGCTTGTTAAGCTCTTTATACTTAAAAAAGTTCTTCATGGATTTATGGTGATTCTAAAATTGTGAAATATTGTACATTGAAAAGTTCGTCATTTAAGAGTAGTTGTCTATCACGTCAAGGTAGGACTTTTTAACACATTTTGTATAAATTTAAAACATTTTTTTATTCCTATAATGATTTTTGAAAGTTTTCTATGTAAATGCGTTTGATGTAAATTGCTTCTACATCATACGATTTGCGTTAAATCTCTATTAATATGCGACACGATTTTGTGGCACGAGTGAATGCAATTTTCCAAAAATTTTGATGACATTATTTTGTAGCGCGATATTACATCGAAGTTTCGATGGAATAGTTTCCAGCGGTTTAGTCAAAAGTTGGGATGTACATAGCGACACGCACATACAGAAGCTCTTAGCGGCATAGTATGACTACTTGCACGCTTTTATCCCTATGATGGTTGTTTCACGTTTAATTTAATATTTATAAATTTATAATACATTATAAATATATCATATCATAGATATGTATAATAAATAAAACATAAGATTGTAAGATATGCTAATTTTCAAGAAATTAACGTTGTATTAAATGCAAAACATCGCTTTTTATCATTTTTTTTTATCGCAATTAGTATTGAGAAGGTTTAGTTTACAATTTCTTATAAAGCTATTACGATTTTTTTATAGGACGGATTTATTATGGAAACTCCGGGTGGTGGCGGTTACGGCCTCATTAGTAAGAAGCAAGCAGATGAAAATTCCGACTATCGACGTCTAAAAAGACGTTCATTAAAACATAGAGATTCAAAATGGAAAAAAAATCAGCATATCTTCACGGAACGCGGAAGTGTTTTTGAGTACCGTAAAGCTCAAGAATCCGTTTAAAAAAATCACAGTTATCATAAGTATTATGAATTATGGTCGGAGAACATATTCCGGAAAAGTGAATGTGACTTATGTGTTCTAATAATTTTTCAATAATTATATAAAATATTCAGAAATATTCTAAATAATATAACAAAATTAATGAAATATATTTTAAATGTATTTCATGTCAAAATAAGCAATGCTGTTCGATATTATACAATTTATCATAATTCTGACGTGGAAATTTCACGATGAGCTGTCGCGGATGCGTAACAGACGGTAAATCTAAGATTTGATATAATCTATAATATTGATTTTAGATAAAGTTGCATGGATAATAATTTTCTTTAATCAAACACATTCTTTTTAAAGAAGAAAACTTGTACAAAAGGGTATACTTTCACTTTAGGTATAAATTATAATGACATATAACGAATCAAATCGCTTCAGACAATTTTAGTCCTCGGTCTAAATCAGTCAGTTTAGCAATGCAAAATCTTATTAAAATTAAATTAAAATATCCAAATTATAAATTAATAACTGAAAACAATCCTCAGGAAAAATTATAAAATTAAAAATTTGTTATTACGCAAAATAAAGTGTAATTCTTGAGTACTTAAGTTCCTTAAAAATTCGAATCAGAACGTGAAGAATGTAAAAAATTTTCTTCTGTTCTACTATTTGCGCTGATAGGACAATTGGTCCACGTTAATACAATCAAATAAAGAAAGGCTCACCGCGAAATTTTGCATACTAGTTTATGTTTTATAATATTGTATTGTTGTATAAAGAGTATTGCATATATTATATATTTTATATGTGCAAAGAGCATTTATATTATTAAATATTTTTAAGTGTTTGTCTTAATAAAAATATTACGAAATTCACTTTTTGTAAATCATTAACATATTCCTAGCGTTGTTTTATTTTACCTCATAAAGCACATCTTTTTATTCAGTTAGTTCATGCCATCACTTTTAAGCCGATTGATTCGTGTCCTCGAGAAATCGTCAATTCCCAGAGGAATTAAATCTGCTGCGGTTAATTTCCTCGATTTACCGGTCCGTTCGATTTGCAGCAGGTGCAAGATGGCCGCCATTTCATTTCCGGCACGAGTAATTACTGACCGAAATGTCATCGCGCTGACCTACATAGCGACAGGGTTATGATTGCATTTCCATAGAACATTATTCAAGATTTTCTAACTATCAAAAGACTTTCTTTTTATATACATCTTTTTATACGCAAATATGGAAGACCTGGTTTTATCTTTCCTTTTTATGAGATAAAATTTTTTTATTCTGTGTTTTCAAATTCGTAAAACAAAGAACAGCAGAAAGTTTAGACATTGTCATTTAAACGACTTGTAAAATTTCACCAAAAATTAACTGATACGAATCTGGACTGAAATAAACTGATATAAGCATCTAATGCCATTGAGAGTATCAGATGCGGAAGATAGCATCTCTTTCGTTTCTCGGAAGTAGCAAATTTCGTTTAAATGTTTCTAGAAATGTCTGTTGCTGCTCTGTAAGATAAGAATTCTAATCGGTTTCAAATTTCAACACAAAAATTAATCTCTATCTTATTGCCGCAATGAGAAATGTTTTTGTGTTATTCCGTTTGGATGTGTCTTTTATTTTGATTTTTTCTCGTATGCGGCACTAATCTTTTTTTAACATGTAATTAAGATATTATTTTTCAAGACAGCATTTTACTTCATCGTTTAATATTTTATTCGCAAACGATTGTGTTACGGTGCATCTCTATTTCATATTGAATGTAGATTTGAAGCGTAGAATCATATTACGTTGCGTAAATTAATATACAAATATCGACACAAATGCATCTCTAGCAGAATATTCGGCTCTTTAATTTTATTCCTCTCGATGAGAGGAACACAAACTGGCGAATGAAACTGAAAGAACGTGTTCGATGCGATTACTCTCGCCGCTAAATAAAGCGATGAAAGATAGTGTCACTCATAAAAAGGAAAAAAGAGATGAAATCCGGGATAAGAGGCACCGTCAATTGACATTTTACAGCGGAATGAAAATCAAATGGGTACTTCGAGAAGAGATAAAGCGGGATGCAAAAATTTTTGAAATAAGTTTTTATGGCACAAAGTTGTTGCAGATCGGAATCAGCGCTGTTTTTTAGGGAAAGTCCTCTTTCATTGAGATTTCGCTCGAGTTTGCGACTCTTATACCGCGGTGTTCTTTATGGAACTCCTCCCTGACTTTTTGCCAGTGAATTCAGATAATGTTCTCTTCGCCTTTCTATTCGATGGTCGTAAGAAACCATGATATTGAATACGCTGCTATTGGAACGCGCGATTCCCACTTTACAATTTTATCACTTTAGCAAATCTTACGGCGTGTAAAATTTAATACGCGGAATGTAATAAATACAAATAATGTCTATGTTCATAAAATAGTTTCGCAAAATAGTTTTATGTAAAAATATCCAAACTTCTATCAATGTAAATAGCTAGTAAATTAATAAAGTTAATTTCAGACGTCGAGGATTTTATAAGATCTATGAATCCAACGTATTCCTAGAATTAGTTTAAACTTAATATATTAGAAAAATTAATTAATTTAATTAATTTATTTACTCAATTTGTCAAGAGAATTATCAAATATATAATTCTA